TGATTTATTACAAAAATATAATAATTTATTTATTAAAACAATTTCATAATAAATTATAACCAATTATATATCATGAAATTAGAGATGTATAAAAAAAAAATGATTAAAGAAATAAAGTAAGGAAAACTTTTGTCGTTTGATATGAACTTGTCACAAACGATATTTCATCAGAAGTCAGACTAGTAGACTTTGATTTGTATGTCCTATCATTTTATTCTTGACAAGACTTATTAAATAATTATGTAAAATGATAATGAAATAATCACGAGGCAATTACAATCACATTAAAATGCATTTTGTTATAACTTTTGGGTTTTTAATTTCAACAAAATTTGATGTAAATATTGAAAACGAAAATAGTGTGGCGCTTAACAAAAAGGTTACAAAGAAGCAACAGCATAAAAAAAAAGCAAGAGGTAAAAATAATCATAATAATGCCGAAATTAAATCGAATAAACATAATAATACGGAAATTAAACCAAATACTGTGAACATTGGCAAAATATTGGCAGAAGCACATGTTGAATACGAACTTTTACCGGGCTACACTTTTAAATTTGATTGTCGCTGTTGGGAAACTGCTACAAAGGTATGCAATTTTATATATATATTCGTGCTATTAACCTAATTAATTAAATTAAAAAAATTATTTATATAAATCGTTTGAAATGTTATAATTTCATGGCCCTGCTTTGTAGATATACACAGAAAATGCTGATTGGTGCTTGAGACCTATAGTTCATGAAAATAATCTTTGGGTTGTATTTTCTATTCACCATGAGGTTGATTTAAATGAAGTGCAATTACAAAAATTTTTTGATTATGTTATTACATACCAAATTTTTCCTGGAAACAATAAGTTTTATGATAGGTTTGTTACAATTAACAAATAGTAAACATTTTCATATATTTGTATTTGTTCGTTATTACCGATAATAAATAAAATAGCATATACAGGAATAAGTTCTATTTCATTGGTTTATTAAATATTTTAGAAGAAATAATATTATATTGAATAATTTGCAGGGCCAAAAAGGACAAAGTGAAACAATTTTATACACATGCTAACACAATTAATATTAAACACAATGATTTTCTTGAAATATATCCTTCTGAATTAGAGCCTATTACTAAATCAAAACCAGAACCAATAATAGTTAAACATGAAACTGATGGCGAATTTAGCATCATATCATACCTTGATGTAATACCAGGTCAAGTTTTGTAGTGAAACACTTTTGAAATTCTATATCTTTATTTGGGTATTATGTTATATACAATAATTATTTTATTTAAATAATATATAAAATTTCATCACTATTAAATCATTATTAGATAACAGACATCAATATAAATTTTGGAGAATGATGAAAAAAGAAAAGTTTCCATCTGAGCCTGTGACAATTGAATTTGTTCCTTCCACTGAAGTAAAAGTACCTTTAAAGTCTAAAAAATTAAAAAACATGAAGACACAGGAGATGACTGTCCAGATGTCATTAACAACTCGAAATCTATTCTCAGGTAATTGGAATTTACAAATATCCTGATAATAAGTTCTATCATTAATT